AACCAAACCATTTTTCTGTTTTTTTTTTCCTTTTCGGTTATTTCTGTCCATGATCTGATAGAAAAAAAACGAACTACAAATACTCCAAAATTTTTTTGACTTCATTAAAAAATAAAATCGTTTTTGTTGGATGGAAACTTTTTGAGGTCAAACCCCCCCCCCCCCACCCCCAAACTAAAGGAAATAAGTTTTTTATCCGACATCGATCTTTTGACGTCGTCCCTTAAATATCAACGAATATGAATATTATATTTTGAATTTGTGATAAAAAATTGTTAATGTTTTTTTTTTGCGGGAATGCCTACAAAAAGTATAAAATCAAACTTATCTTCATCTTTTTGTTAAGATACTGAACAGCGCCACCAAGAGACCAATATTAAGTATCCTCGTAACTGTTAAACAGGAGTTTTCATCTGTGTGGCCCAAATTCCCATTTTCACTTCATTTATTTAGGTAAAGCTGTCTTCACCAAGTGTTAGGTTGGTGCAATGGATGAATTTCAAACACTGTGGGTGGCAGGCAAACTAAATTTTTACTCGGCTAGAAATAATCAAATTATCTGAATAAGGTTTATGTTTAGCTGAATGTACTTGAGGCATGCACTGAATGTTAAGAGTAAAACTAGATTGAGTGACATTTATTTCTTTTCTATTCTGTTCTTATCTGTTCTATAGTGTTCTGTTCTGTTCTGTTCTGTTCTGTTCTGTTCTATAGTGTAGTGTTCTGTTCTGTTCTGTTCTGTTCTATAGTGTTCTGTTCTGTTCTGTTCTGTTCTATAGTGTAGTGTTCTGTTCTGTTCTGTTCTTTCGTTTTTTGTTCTGCAGTGTTCTGTTCTGTCATGTAGTGTTCATGTCTGTTTTATGGTTTTCGGTTCTTTTCTGATTTATAGTGTTCTGTTTTATAAGTTGTGTACTCACCACAGCTAGGCGGCATATGCCAATTATGTGTATAAATGTTCTTGGCAAAAAATCTCACCACATGCCAAATTTAACCTAATAAACTGTTGAATGTAAGGGCCTAGACCAAATCTAGTGTAAGTATGTAAACGCTTTAGAATGTGTTAAGTGCCCTCAAGTTAGTGGTCAATTTGAACATGGCGACGACGAAGGAGCATTTCTGTCAAAGCAATACCGGTCAGATAACGAAATTAACAGACCATTGAGCATTTGGGAGGATGACTGGTTAGCTCTACAAGAAACAAAAAAATCACTGTACCATCTGCATTCTCTTTACACCATTTTGACTTGTTTTTGTTGCTTTACAATTAAGTATTTAAGAAGAGAAAACAGGTCTAAATAAGACATCGCAGGCCTAAATAAGACATCGCAGGCCTAAATAAGACATCGCAGGTCTAATTAAAGTAGCGAGACTATTATTTGTGTTGAAAATTACGATTTTCACATTTATTTATTAATTGATGAAATGCACTATAAACTTTCATATGATAAATTCAACATACAATAGAATGTCATGTAAGTTGGTTAAAATGTAGATTTTCTGAAGGGAAGCAAGGTTTCGCAAAATCAACAACACAGGTTTAATCTGTGTGCCTATAAGTTTCAAAGATTAACTCAAGACAAAGCAATGTTAGGTTGTGTTATCAGTAGCTATCTTACACACAATGAGTGTTTCCAAACATTTGAGTGGTTTGTCTCCACCCCTGTTTGTTTCACAGATTAGTCATTTGCATATGAATGTGTCAGACACAAGGTCACACAGCCACTGAAAAAAAAATCGCTGATTTTGGTGTTTTCATCTGCCGATTTTATCAAATTATAGCTATCCTATTCCTTTATTTTTAGCTCCGCTGTCGACTTTATCGAGTGGAGCTTATCATATGAGTGATTGTCCGTCGTCGACCATCATCGTCCGTGTCAATGTTTTATTTTTTAGCTCCGCTGTCGACTTTGTCGAGCGGAGCTTATCATATGAGTGATTGTCCGTCGTCGTCCGTGTCAATGTTTTACTTTTTCGACTTCTTCTTGAAAACTACAAGCCTGAATGCTTTGATACTTGGTGTATATGTACCTTGGGTAGACCTCTTAGGTTTGTTCATTTCCTGTTGATATCTTCAATTCTCTAATTTCAGTGAATATTTTTGTCATTTTTGGTAAAAAGGGATATTTTCGACTTCTTGTTAAAAACCAATAGTTCAATTGCTTTGATATTACATATATAGATACTACTTGTAGACCTTTCTCAGATTTGTTCATTTTGTGATGATATCTTCAATTCTCTAATTTTGGTGAATTTTTTCGTCATTTTTGGTAAAAAGTGATATTTTCGACTTCTTGTTAAAAACCAAAAGTTCAATTGCTGTGATATTACATATATAGATACTACATGTAGACCTTTCTCAGATTTGTTCATTTTGTGATGATATCTTCAATTCTCTAATTTTGGTGAATATTTTTGTCATTTTTGGTAAAAAGTGATATTTTCGACTTCTTGTTAAAAACCAAAAGTTCAATTGCTTTGATATTACATATATAGATACTACATGTAGACCTTTCTCAGATTTGTTCATTTCGTGATGATATCTTCAATTCTCTAATTTTGGTGAATATTTTTGTAATTTTTGGTAAAAAGTGATATTTTCAACTTCTTGTTAAAAACTGTGAGTCCGATTGCTTTGATACTATTCAATTGTTCATTTTCTAATGATGTCTTCGTTCTTTAATTGAAATGTGCATTGCTAACAGCGGAGCTATCTCAGCGATAGGCTGCTTGTTTATTCATAAATATTTATTTCTAGTTATCTGCATCCTATTAACATATTAAGTTTATGTCATGTGACATGACGATATGTGTTCACTTGGTGTCATTTAAAATATGAGTATGAATGTTTTACGATGTTGTAGCAGGAGTCTCAGTTTCACTCTCAAACACAATCGCAAATGGCGAATTGCCTGTTTGGGATTCTCTTATCCGGTGGCACCTCCCCTGATAAGGAATATTTACAAGGCTCTTTAGCCCTCAGCATGTGTGAACAAATTTTTAATGTATATATGTATGCTGTCTTCTTCTTTTTTTTTTAGTCATGTTCTTATTTTACTTCCAACACTGTTCCCCTGAGAATGGTATTCAACAATGCTGATCCTCTCGGTGAAGACATTTCCATCATGTTTAAGGTACACATTCATATTTTCTGCTTGATTTTTTGAAGAGCAAAGTTCCATGTGTCCATCTGTCTGCATATTAATTATAATCGTGTGGTTGATTGTGCTGGCTATGCATATTGAAAATTGTTGACTCATCACATGCATTGTACAATTTAATTCAACCTTTGTACACACACCAGCATTAATAGATTTCATTTAAGGTGAAAGACATAATTGCTGACTGTTCATTTGTCAAAAATAGAGGGGGCTGTTTCCTATTTTTAGCTCCGCTGTCGACTTTGTTGAAGCGAAGTGATTGTCCGTCTCCGGCGTCCGTGTCAATGTTTTACTTTTTCGACTTCTTCTTGAAAACTACAAGCCTGAATGCTTTGATACTTGGTGTATATGTACCTTGGATAGACCTCTCTCAGATTTGTTCATTTCATGATCATATCTTCAATTCTCTAATTTTGGTGAATATTTTTGTCATTTTTGGTAAAAAGTGATATTTTCAACTTCTTGTTAAAAACTGCAAGTTCAATTGCTTTGATATTACATATATAGGTACTACATGTGGACCTCTCTCAGATTTGTTCATTTTGTAATGATATCTTTAATTCTCTAATTTTGGTGAATATATTTTTCGTTTTTGGTAAAAAGTGATATTTTTGACTTCTTGTTAAAAACCACAAGTCCAATTGCTTTGATATTACATATATAAGTACTACATGTGGACCACTCTCAAATTTGTTCATTTTGTAATGATATCGTCAATTCCCTAATTTTGGTGAATATTTTTGTCATTTTTGGTAAAAAGTGATATTTTCGACTTCTTGTTAAAAACCGCAAGTCCAATTGCTTTGATATTACATATATAGGTACTACATGTGGACCTCTTTCAGATTTGTTCATTTTGTAATGATATCTTTTAATTTTCTAATATTGGTGAATATTTTTGTCATTTTTGGTAAAAAGTGATATTTTCGACTTCTTGTTAAAAACCACAAGTCCAATTGCTTTGATATTACATATATAGGTACTACCTGTGGACCACTCTCAAATTTGTTCATTTTGTAATGATATCTTTAATTATCTAATTTTGCTCCATTTTTGGCAAAAAGTGATATTTTCTTCTTGTTAAAAACCACAATCATTTATGGTGAAAAATGATATTTTTGAATTCTTGTTGAAAACAGCAAGTCCCATTGCATTGATACTATACGAATTGTTCATTTTCTAATGATATCTTCTGTTCTTTAATTGAAATGTGCATTGCTAACAGCGGAGCTATCTCAGCCGAGAGGCTGCTTGTTTTTAAACATTTAATCGAGAACTGTAAGAATGAGAAAGTATGCCTCGTTGATTCTAAATTAATCAAAGAACTCATTAAACAGGACCATAAAAATGTGACACACACATATCGGTGGGAAACAGTATAGGTAGTGTTCAACGTCTGTCTCATTCTATGCTATGTGTATATTTTTCTACAGTGGTTGTGAGAATTTTTCAACATTCAGTAAGCAAGATGACTTGCAACTTTGAAAAACATTTTGGTTTTTGTTCAATCTAGACTTGATGGCACCATTCAATCGACATGCACAGTTTAGATTATTCAATTATCATACTAGACGAGGGTAAATAAGTTAGATTAGCAAATCACTGTGTTGACGACCCCCATAAAATGGTGAAATTGCACCATCAAGTCTAGACCAAAGCAAAAGCCATCTTGTTGCAAATGTTGCAAGCTATCTTGCTGGCTGACTGTCCAAATAATTCTAAGAATCACTGTAAAAAATTTTAAAAAAACATATCAATTAAAAAAATTAATTAATATCTCAGGCAGGTGAAGATCTACGCCAAGATATGTTAACTTTACAAATGATTCGATTAATGGATAAAATGTGGTTAGAAGAAGGACTTGATCTAAAGATGATACTGTTTAGATGCATGGCTACGGGTCCAAATGCAGGTATGTTAGTTGGTTGTTATTCAGTCAAACTTTATAGGTTTATCTCAAGTTAGGACTACATTTGATAAACATGTAGGTATGTTATTTATTTCACCATGTGTGTAACAATCCAATTGATTGTGATAAACTTCCCAAATATCTTTTACCTTACCTCAGAAAAGATTTAACCTTTTCTCTTCTGTTGTTTACTCTCTAATTTTGTTGTTTTATGATTTATATATTATTTAAAATCGATTTATAGAAAATTTCTGATACTTGATATTTTTCTGAACAAGAGGTTCAATTTAAATAAATAAGACTTTGTGATTTCCTCATAACATTAAGCCCTACAAACAACTGAAGTTAGTAATTGTGTATGCGTTTGTATCACATTCAAACTTCTGACAAATACATCACATCTTGGGTGACATATACGATATGATCCGATCCATTTTTATGCTAAAAATTCTTCAAAAACATTTCCGCCATTCAGTAACTGGACCTTGTTCGACATGTCCTGACGAATCATGTTCAAACTTTACATATTCATTCATTTCAGTATGTGACTCAAGACGACCAAATTGTGGTCATCAAAATTAAATATTTCTGCAATTCTGTATTCGGATCTCCGTCAGGCATATACAGATTTTGTTCAAACTTTAACTTTATGGGACCTCAATGCACATCATTTTGTTTTTTTCGAATTGAACTCAAAATGGCTGACTAGTGGCCATTTTGTTTTAGTGAATGCAGTTTTGGAACCATATCTCTGACATTCTCTCAAAGATCATGTTCTCATGTTCAAACTTTATTTATTTCTTAAACTTGAGAACTCACAGGTTCCACAGGTTGTTGATGCAGTGTGGTGTTCATCATTTCAAGCAAAATGTATTTCTAACCAATGTACCAGCTGACTTTAATATCTATGAGTTACAGGTCTGGTAGAATTGGTTCCAGATTCAGAAACATTGCGTAAGATTCAGGTTGAACGTGGTGTAACAGGCTCCTTTAAAGAAGATCCATTGGCTGAATGGTTACAGAAACATAATCCTACAGAAACAGAATATCAAAAGGTAAAACTTTTGACGTTACAATGTATATTCAGCAATGCTGTAAATTGTAACCCATCTCTGATGCTGCAGAAAATCAGGCTTACAGTAGTAGTCATGGCCAGTGTGCCCTCCAAGACCTAAAATGTCACGTCATGACGCAAACAAACTTGTTCACTGGCATGTCATTTATGCACCAGAAAATCGTACCGAGATAGTGATCTTGAAAAACATCCTACTATAGTTATGGAATTTCTCTTTGGTAAAATGAAATTTACATCTCAGAAACAAAATAAGTGAAAACAAAGTCGCCTATATAGTCAAATACATTTTTTATTTTTATTCTTGAAAACCTCTCTCCCCAGCAGTCAAGCTGAGTCAAGTTAATTTTTGGGGATTCCATTTTGACTTACCGGTAGGATCCCTACAAAATCAGTCCTGTTAGCGGGCACACTGGTCATAAAAATTAAGATTTAAATAAAGTCTAATTTTGGTGTTTGGAAACATTTAGTTTTTGTTATGTCTGTGTATGTGGGAGTGAACTATTCACTAATCATGTTGGTTTAAAAGTTCATTATGTACTTTGTTCAGCAAACACTCAAAGCAGAACTAGAACAACAATGGAAGGATTTATAGTGATAATAATTAATCCCAAAGGATAACCTGTTTTAAGGACTTTAAACTAAATGTAGCTAACAATATAACTTCTTTTTTTTTTTTATTCCAGGCAGTGGATAACTTTATTTACTCTCTAGCGGGTTACTGTGTAGCCACCTATGTGTTGGGTATCGGTGACAGACATAATGATAATATTATGATAAAAACATCAGGACATGTCTTCCATATTGATTTTGGAAAGTTTCTTGGGAATGCTCAAATGTTTGGAAGCTTCAAAAGGTAAATGTCCCTTGGGACCCCCCCAAAAAAAAAGATTTTCACCACCAGAATTTCTCGTCAAAATTTGTCTCCACTTTTTTATATTCTTCAATATTTCTGGATGTGAACCCTAACTTCGGAGCCAATTAACAAAATTTGAGTCAATTTTCAGTTTTTACTCAAAATATATTTTTGTTCCCATCTTCTGAAGGAAAGTGCAGACTATAAATGGGACTAATTTGTGATGAAAAGAGGGAAATGGTGGTGAAATGGTTAAAACACATCAAATATGTAAACTACTTTAATATAGTAAGCCTTAATGGGCGTCTAAATAAAATATACGGTACATCTGAGTCGTGTCATTTGTCTGTTTATGCTGGTACTGTAATCAGATAACTATTTGTTAGTTCCCCACCCCCCTTGGACTTACTGCTAAGATTTTGTCTCCATGGTTCAGTTTGTGATATACATGGTGATATTGATTGACTGTTATATATTAGTTAGCTTCTTATCTGATTATGCCAATTCTCCAATCAATCGATGGTAGTTACTGTATCCCTACATGTTTTATCAAGTGATAGTTGCCTGAGTGATGAAAATGTGACTGCTGCATTATTCATGATTAAGAAAATAAATGTTACCAGGCTACTATCTGTCCATCAGACTTTTGTTTCAATCTATTGCCTTGCCCAATGTTCTTTATGTTCTTCAATGATGGTACAAAGACAAGACATAACAGTACACATACAGTCAGCTGGTCACCTATTTTAATTCAACACACGTTTATCATCTTCCATATAATTCAAGGCATATTTTTACTGTTCAAAGTAATCGCCCACAAAAATTTCAGAATTTTTTGCATTGTTTACAAAATTTTAACTTCTTATACCTCTGAAGACAGCTCAAATCAGCTTTTTGCATACATGATATGGTTTATGGTAATTTCTGATAGAGCAGAAGTACACAAGGTGAAAGTGAAGAACTTCCACAATAAAATGTGAAGATATCAACCCCATATCATGCCAGTAGACACTAAAAGAAATTGTTATTTATATCTCTAGGGATCGAACACCATTTGTGCTGTCACCCGATATGGCATACGTTATCAATGGCGGTGTTAAGCCAAGCAGCAGATTCCATGACTTTGTTGATCTGTGTTGTCAAGCTTTCAACATTACAAGACGCCATGCTAACATCTTTTTCAACTTATTTGGCTTGGTAAGTTTTGATTAAATCCTGCAAATGTTCTATTTATCGCAAAATTTGTGACTGTTTCCTGTTTTTGCAGTCAGTAAAGTGTGATTAATTATTCATGAAATAGTTTGATTCAGAGAAACAAATATGTAAACAAAAACTAGAACAATGACAGACATAATCATGAATTTTGTGGTGTTGACGTGAGTTTACATGGACTTTGTATCGGCAATACACCTCCGTAGGATTCATATCACTGAAAAGCTTTGTGTAAACAGTTTGGCTGTAAAAAAATCATTCTAGTCTTTGCACGTTGCTTGCATGTTTCTCGAACTAAACAACCCATCCTGGCTATGTCAGTTTTATCTTTAAAAAAGATTTTAAATCAATATTTATTGCTATTGACCAAAATGGCAACAAATACCTTAATCAAAATTATGAAAAAATATTCTAAAAAA